TAACTTAAGCATTTACCATACATTTTGATTGGATTGCATCTAGATGTGTACTACCACCGCTAAAGTCTTTTAATTTCTATTGGCCAGGAGCACTGTTCCAAAATGTTTCTCCATACCGGGCATGGTGGCATGTGCCTGTAACCCCAGCACAGGGGAAGCTGAGGCAGGAGGTTAAGGACAGCGTGGGCTATAGTGAGTTCAAGGCCAGCCTGAATTATAGAGCAAGACCCTGTCTCCAAAAAAGGTAGTGGTGGTGAGTCACAAGCCCAGATGCCTATTGAGGCTAGTCATGAAGCATAAATGAGTCAAATGGATAGGTGTAAGACAGCAGGAGTCAGAAGACTAACGAGTACAAAACATGCTGGAAAATAGGTCCAGCATTTCCACCAACCTCATTTTCATCTGAAGCCAGAAATGTGCACATTGGCAACTAATTAAAAATTATTTAAAGATACAGACTTGATGTGGTGGTGCATGCCTGTAATCCCGGCACTCTGAGAGGCTAAGGTAGGAGGACTTGGGTTTGAGATCAGCCTAGGTAATATAGTAAGACCCTGTCTCAAAAAAAAAAAAATAAGGGCAGTGGGGCGTGGTGGCGCACATCTGTAATCCCAGCACTTGGAAGGCCAAGGCAGGAGGATCGCTGAGTTCGAGACCAGCCTGGGCTACATAGTGAGTTCCAGGGCACTCTCAACTACATAGTGAGACCATCTCAAAAAACAAACAAAAATGGGGCAGGAGATGTAGCTCAGCACAAAGGCTCTGGCTTCAATCCCTAATATTTAAAAAATTGTATAGGTGAAATGAGACACATCTGGACCAAGGATGTAGCTCAGTGGCCCTTGCCTGCCTGGAGAGCACCAGGTCCTGAGTTCCTTCCCCAGTACCAGAAAAGGCCAAAAAAACCCCACACATCTGATTATCACTTTAGCCCACAGGGGTACTACCACTTTATCGTCAGCAACTGACCATTTTTTGCTGGTGGTTAGAGGAAGCTGTCCTATGTATTACAGGATGATGAAGCATTGCTCCTCTCTCCTGGTTATGACAACCAAAAACATTGCCAGATATTGCCAAATGTTCCCAGGTGAGAATCACTGTTCTGGTATCAAAGTAAGGCTACAGAATAAAAAGACTAGCTTATGATTTATTTTTTGTGTTTTTGGAATGTAGCCCAGGCTGGCCTTGAACTCATGACAATCCTCCTGCCCCAGCTTCCTGAGTTCTGGGATTACAGGTGTGTAACCATGCCAGCCAAACAGCTAGCATTTTAAGAATACAAGTGGGCCAGGGATTTAGTTCAGTGGTACTGTGCCTGCCATGCAAGTGCAAGGTTCTCAGTTTGATCTCTGGTACCCTCCCAAAAAAATAATACAAGCATTTGCCATGAATTCACTCTGCAGTTTGATTATGCATGTCATTAATAAAGAACTGTAATTATTTAAAAAGAATTAAGTTTTCCTGTTAACCATTTAGAATGTGCTACTTTATGCATGTGTATGTGTGTCAGCACAGAGACTGTTTCAAATAAATTTAAAGCTGCTCTGACAACCATGATTTTCTACAAGTAGGTGGTCTTTGGAATATCTGTCCTTCTGTCAATAACTGGATATTTTCTCTCAGTAGCTGTAGACAGGTTGATTGCAAGAGCACCTGCTCTAGAACCTCATGTTTTAACTATACTTGTGGAAAAATTCAAAATTATGTTATGACTGTCATGTTCCTAGTATCGGTTTCTTTTTTTTGGGGGGGGGGATACCAGGGATTGAACTCGGGTCCTTGCATTTGCAAGTCAGGCCACCGAACCACTGAGCTAAATCCCTGGCCCTCCTAGTATCAGTTTCTTCTGATGCAGTGAAGTGATACTTTGGTAACTAGGTAGAAACAGTGACTCTGATGTCATGTTTCTTAGGCTCAGTCAGTTTTACCTACATGGAATCTTTAGAGTGAATCACTGGCCCATCTTCAGGAGAAAGAATGAATTCTTTTCTCTTTTTTTTTATTTTTTGGTACTAGGGCTCGAACTCAGGTCCTTGCGCTTGTGAGTCAGGCTCCGGAGCCACTGATCTAAATCCCCAGCCCACAGCTTAATTTCTTAGAGATTAAGAAAATAGGGCTGGGGATTTAGCTCAGTGGTTCCGCTGGCTACCTTGTAAGCACAAGGAACCGAGTTCAATCAAACGTACAAAAAAAAAAAAAAAAAAAAAAAAATTAAAAAAAAAAAAAAAAAAAAAAAAAAAAAAAAAAAAGATTAAACTGTATTTAAAAGACGAGCCAAACAACCCACTGGGCTATTTTGTTTATTTAAAGGGAAAACTGAAGCTCTGTATCAGATGATTTTTAACTTTAAAACAAAAAACAAAAAACCCTCTTAACATGCTACTGTATGTTCCGTCAACAAAGAAAGCAAAGTGACTAAGCAGAGGTGTACAAGACAAGATAGAACCTCAGCGGCAGGCCAAGGGGAGATTCAAGTAATTCCTTTTTGCAGCCTCATGGCTGGGAGTCTCTTACTCAGGTTGCTGAAGGGAGAACGCTGCAACACAACTGGCGTTGCTCCCTTCTTCAAAGCAACAAGGCATCTTGAAAACTCAAGGAGAAGTTCTGTGGTTGACAGCAGGATGCTGACCATCCCTGTGGAGAGACAGCTGGATCTGGGAAGGAAACTCTTTGAAGGAAAACCTCCCCTCAACAGTCATCATAAAAAACTTCAGCCCACACATAACCCAATTTGCCACTGGGAGGAAAAGTCTGTCCCAAAATTCCTGGGGGAGAAGAGGCAGGTAGAGTCACTGAGCCCCATCCTCTGCTTCGCTTCTTCTCTGGATCAGAGGGTGGCTGAAGAGCTCTTACACACCCATGTTCTCTGCCAGGGAAGTGAGGAGGCAGAAGCGGGGTTTCATCCTTCACAGATTTATTTTGGTTCTGGCAGGTCTGGAGCCTTTGTGTCCCGCACCCACTGCATTCTGGGATTAGACAGAGCTGCTCCTTCGAAGGTCAGCACCCAAGCTCATGTCCGTCTTTCAGTTAAATCTCCTTGATTTAGTAACTGTCAAAGATTGAAAGCAAAGTAGAATGGGTTACAACTGAATCACAGAAAAAAAAATTCATACTAAGTAAAAGGATTAAGAGGAGGGTGAGGAACAAGTCAAGCAAAAGACATCTTCCAAAGCAAGTCCTGTGTAAACTGATAAATCTCATTTAACACACTGGCTCTGGGACAGCACTTTGGGTCCTTCAGGATATTGCTGTCCTAACAATGGCAATAAAATCACAACCTACTGTTTGTGTAGTCATATGCTGAGCAATAAGTGATGGATGAATGAGCAACTTACAGGGAATTTAGAAACAGTGAGTGAAACCTGTGTCACACAGAGCACAGACTGAAGGCTTAATAGAAAGGAGCAGTTTCCTCTATGGCAGCCCTAACAAGAGCAACAGATTTTATTTGATGCTATGTGGTGAGGGCAGAAGAATGTTATAGTTTGGGTTAAGGACGTAGCTCAGTAGTAGATGCCTCTGGGTTCAATGTCCACCCAGTAAGAAGAGACAGACAGATGGTGGGGGATGAGGAGGGAGGGAGACACACACGAGATGGGGTTGGGGGTGTTTTTAAGATCCAGATGTTTGTACCCAAACTTAGTAATGGCACTAAGAATGTTGAAGAATTTGTAATTTTTGTATCCTGCTTTATTTGGAAAACATTCTAATATGTAGTCAAAGCTAGTTGGGTTCAAAGCTATACCAGTTCTGTGTGAATAGGGAACCTCATTTGAGATGACCTTTAGTAGGGTGAGTCACAAAACCTGAAAGTTGCAACTGGGCCTGTGCAATAAGCTCTCTGTATAATTCTTAGGAGACCTGAGGCAATAATGAGGAAAAATATAAACTGTATAATCTCAACCAACCACCACAGTTGAGAGTTGACTTAATTATTGACTTTTTTTGAGACAGATCTTGCGACGTAGTTCAGGCTGGCTTTGAGCTAAGAAAGCCAGGCTAACCTCAAATTTAACAGTGCTCCTCCTGCCTCAGCCTCCCACATGTGGGACTACAGGTGTATACCACTATAATAGGCAGCTAAATTAGATAAATATTAATATATAGTCAGAAAAGGACTGGGCTCTCAAGGAAATCAGTGCAGAAGATGAGAACACATCAAAATTGTGGCTAGAGGCACACCTGAAGAGGCAAGAACTCCCCAGATTAAAGTCACAGTGGTCAGACACACATACTTCCTTAAGGAATGAATAGAATTTGAGATTATACTGTAATTGGTACTACCTTTCTGGGATTTCCCTTAGAAACAGCCCATTATTTTACTAGGGGTGAGCCATCCTCTCCCACCCACTAAGACTAAGACCAAAGGCAAGACTAAGACTTAGATTACTGACCAAGGTTAATGATGTCATCCATATGCCCTTGCTACATGCCCTGCTCCCCAACTGGATCAATATTTTGTTTTTTGTTGTTTTGCTTGAGACAGGGTCTTGCTATGGGTTGGCCTTGAACTCACTATGTATCCCAGGCTAGCCTTGAACTCACAGGGATCTTCCTGCCTCAGTCTCCTGGGTGCCTGGATTCATGTATGCCACCATGCCTGGCCTACTGGATTAATATTAGTTAAGAGGCTATAATTGTAGTCTTACTGGTTGATTATAGTTTGACCCATGTTGTACACATCTCATGACTTTGCCCTATAAAACATTCTTGGAGAGATGCCCTCGGTCATAACCCACTCAGGACCTGTCTATCTTTCAAGAGCTATTCCTATTTCCTGATTAAACCTTTCCTACTCTTAACCTCTTTTGTCCTTGGGAATTCATTTGTCAATTTCGGGGAACATGAACTTACTACATCTGACATCTAGCAGGTTGGGAGTTACATCTCTCCTATATACTACTACACCCAGCTTCTTTGATATTCTTGAAAGTTATTTTTATTTTTAGAACATATTTAAAGCAGTCCAGTTAGACATTCATTGGTAGATTTTTACAGTTATGGTCTATAATGATGACCTTCAAAAAGAAGTTGGAAAGGACGTGTGTTGCAAATATCCTTCACCTTCTCTGGCATCTTGAGCTTTTTTTTTTTTCCCCTTGTGGTACTAAGGTAAAACCCAGTATTTTCCACATGCTAAGGCAAGTGTTCTACCACCGAGATACACCTCCAGCCCATAAGAATTTTTTTTTTCTTTTAAACTGGGACTGAACACCAAGAATAGTCTACCACTGATCTCCAGTACTTTTTACACTATATTTTACTCTGAGTCAGTCTCAGTAAATTGCAGAGGCTGGCCTCAAATTTGTGACCCTTCTGCTTCAGTCTCTCAGGGCGCTAGAATTACAGTTATGTGCCACCGTGCCGGGAGAGAATTCTTAAGGTCTCAACATTCTTCACTTACTAGAGCAGTGGTGGTGAACCCATGGCATGTATGCTGTTTTTCTTTTAAGACAAAATATGTTAATGTATAAGTTGTTTTTCTAAACTAAAACCTGTTGGCACTTTGCAATAAACAAGTGGGCTTTGGGTTGCAGTTTGGGCTCTCATCTCTAAAAAGGTTCCACATGACTGCACTAGAGGAAAGTCCAGTTAGTATAGTACCTAGACAGGATTTGGAAGAGGACTAAGGGGTGTGTGTGTCAGGAAACACCATGGGGCATTTTATAGCTTGGAAAAAAAGAAAGCATTGGGAGATGTGCTAAACCTTCCAAGAAAAGAATGAAAAGGGGGACTACACAATGGAAATGCCTGTGATAAGGAAAACAGTAAGAGGAGAAAAGTGAGGCTCAAACAGAGGGTGTGTTTATAAATATACAGGACCCAGGAGGTGAAAGTAACAGGGCAGGATTTTCAACTACATCAAGGCCAGCACCTACTCTTTTGTGCTGTTAATATTTTTCTATTATTTGGGGCTTTTTTTGGGTGGTGGTAACTGGGGATTGAACTCAGGACCTTGCGCTTGTGAGGCAGGTGTGGTGCCACTGAGCTAAATCCCTGGCCCTATATATGAAACTGGGTACTTAACACCTCTAAGTCCTTAGTGTACTCTGGGGTTAAAGCACTTGCTTTCTTTGGTTCCTAAGCAGCCTGTGTTACTGTATTTGCTTGAGACTATCTGTGGGCAGCCCTCTACAGCTAAAGCTAATTTTAAAACCAGTATGTCTAACTGAAGAGAACAAATGCACTAATTTGATCATGTCTTATACTACTTATCCAAATATTCAGTAAATGTTTAAATTTTAAAAATTTATTATAGTAAAAAATACACTGCCATTAATAACCCTCAAAATATTCCCCCTTGCTTTGAACACACTTACTCCATTGTTCTTGTCACTTTCTGAAGTAGTTCTAGGAGTCCTCTTTTCATGAGTCTTACATGCAGTGTGATAAAAAGTATGATGAATGCTGCTGCCAAGAACCATCCAATGGAAAGGCAGGCTTATAAAAACATTACAATGTATCTTGAACAACCTTATTCATGGATGGATATGGCACTGTGTGTGACTAAAGTCCAAATGACCACAAATGGTAAACATTTTGAAAAGATTCAGGACATCAACAGCACAACTAAAGACACTCAACAACATCATACTCTCATACTTAGGAGGAGTACTAATAAGAGAATTAAGAGAAATATTAAGGAAGTGCAATTTATAGGCCTTGTTTGAATCTTTCTTCAACTAAACCAACCATAAAAAGACATTTTTGAGGGAGAAAAAAAAGACTAATTATAGTATTAGAGGATATTAAGTTATTAATTTTGTTGGGTGTGGTAAAAATACTCGTTTTTGTGGGGGCGGGGTACCAGGGATCAAACTCAGACCCTTGTGCTTGCAAGGCAGGCAGCGGAACTACTGAACTAAATCTAAATCCCCAGCCCAATACTAGCTAGTTTTAAAAATTCTTTTTGGTTTTTTTGGAGACAGGGTCTGGCTATGTAGTTCTGACTGTCCTTGAACTCACTGGGAGTCTCCTGCCTCAGCTCCCAAGGCTGGGATTAAAATGCTTATCTGTTAGGTATATACTAAAAATTTATAGATGATAAGTCTGTAATTTACTTTAAAATATTCCACCCTCAAAAAAAATAGCAACAACTAAAAATAGAGGGAGAAGATTAAAAAATGTGTAAAATTAATTACTGAATTATCTCACTATACTATGAAAACTTTCCTAATAAAAATCTCAGAACAGCAAATGGGCAAAAATAAGGAGGCTCCATAGGTGAGATAGAGAGGATCTGTTTCAAAACAATAACTTGGAAAAGATGACTTTGGATAGAATTGCTGATACCAACAACAAAACATTCAATAAAACTTGAAGGCTTAGACAACAAGGGTCACAAGAACAAATACAAAGAAAAGTCCTGGCAGAGTGTAGACATGCATGTCCAGAGTCCTGTGATCCTGGGAACTCCCAGAGATGTTTTAAAATAATCCATACTATTTAATATAGGATGCAGTCATTTGATGGATATAACAGATTACCATAAAGATTATAATGGAAAGAGGAAGAAGGGTTTTTTGGTTTAATAGCTCTCTCCCCAGTCATAGCCAAGAGGTCAAGCTACATAACTTTTGGTAAAGGCTTATGCATATGAAATGAACTCATGATGAAGTCATGTACTATCATAACACAAGACCAGTGAAATATCCTAAAATTCTAGAAACTTGATTTTCATTCTGTTAGTTGGGTAAGAGCCAAGACCATAGACTTAGAACTTAGATCCATCTAAAATCCCTCTTTTAACTTGGATGATGACTTTGATTCAAAAAGCAAGTGTGTACCTAGTCTGTTATCTTCCAGACACATGATCCTAATTATTTTTCTTGCTCAGGAACCATTTTGTTCCAGGATATATTTTCTCACTTTTTTTTTTTGAAACAGGGTCTCACTATGTAGCATAGGCTGGCCTTGAATTCACAGATTCTCTTGCCTTAGCCTCCCAAGTGTTAGTAATACAGGCAGGCACCATCACGCCCAGCCTTTTTTTGTTTTTTGAGACAGGATTTTGCTGTGTTGCCCTGGCTGTCCTTGAATTTGCTGTGCAGCCCAGGCTGGTCTCAACCTCATGATCTTCCTGTCTCAGCATCCGAAATTTTGAGATTACAGATATGTACTTCCACTTAGCAATGTTGTTTTCTTTATAAAGTAAAAGCAGCACCTTCATGTCAGAACACTAGAAACAGACATTATTCACTAAGGATGTATAAAAAGGAATGCTAATGCTGAGAAACTCAGCTGTGACACATCAATCTCCCAACTCAACAGACTGTAACACTCATGGTCTTTTGAAGGTGGACTCATACTTAGTTTAAAGGAAGATATTCTAGTCAAAACTTCCAAGAAATGGAAACTGGAGAAATTCTCAGGTTTCTAGAGCACTGGTGGCAAATCTATGGCACCTGTGGCCACAGCGGGCTGTTTGTATCACGGAAAGCACCGAAAAGTTCTCCAACACTGCTCTAGATTCTCAATCAATTTCCACGTAAGTAGACACAGAAACAAGTAAGAGCAAGAGACAGTTGTACCTCCTGTGGATTTACGGCCGTTAAGACAGAAACCTCATATGACTGCCTCCCTGACTGCATGGTCACCAAGTGATGTGTTACATCAGGCACTGAAGACAGGGGACGTGGGGATCCTTCAGTAAGCACCTCTGTGAAACAACAGAAAAATTAATCTTCCATGAAAAGTGAACAGATATGCTACTGTCACATCAAACCTCTCATTAAAAACTCTAAAAACTATTCCCTGAAAAACTAAGCCCCACATTTCTGTATTCCTTTCAAATTAATTCATGGTTGATAATTATTACCAGTAATTTGGAAAGTATTACACAAGAAAAATGGAAAGAAAAACCAAGAAATCTTGACATAGGAGTTCTCTATTTTTCAATATAGTGATTTAGAATAATGGCTTTAGCACTGTTACCTAGATTAAAAATGTATGAAACAGGGCTAAAACAGCTCAAGCAGGCAGATCAGGAAACCACAGCCAGCCCTTGAAGCAATCACCAATGATACTAATAGCTCAACATGTGCACATCAACAATTTAATCTAGGTTTCAAAGCTCCTACTCAGTAATCCCTCCTCCCTTGGGACTTTCTTCAAGACTGGCAAAGCAGTTCCACACAATTTCTGTGCCTTTTGCTCTAGTTATCCACCACTACTGGCCATGAGACAGCAGTGCACTCTAGGCCTTGTAGGCTCCAGACAGAAGTTACACAAATACAGTCACACACAAAACTGACCAAGTAGGATATAAATAACTAAAGCACAGGATCTCACATTTATTAAGTGTTCATCAGTGGGATCACCATGAAAATCTTCTGGAAATAAGTTTATAGATAAACCATTTAGGCTTCAAACAAATTACAAGCTTCCCATAGGGGCTTTGCGGCTTCTACTGCTCTTCCAGACTATACAGTATAATGTAATGCTTGCTAATATACTACCTATTTACTCAATGTTATTTTGCACATGTATGTAAATTTTGACTTCTCAAATGGATTTTAAGGGCCTTATCTCCTAGTTTTGCCTTTCCCATAGTGCCAGGCACACAGTAGGCACCGAATAAATGCATGCTGACCTCACCTGGTAAGTTTTTCAGAGAAGAGGGCCTGGCCTGTGTAACTTGGGTGAAATTTCTATACCAGAGAGGAACAACTCCTAGAAAGCCCTTTCTTTCTCCAGAAGATATGGCTTTTGAAGGTATGGAGAAATTGTTTTATATCTCCTCTGTAAAACCTGGTTATGTTCTGTTTAAATGTTTTAAAAGTTAAGTTCTTCCATAACTGCAATAGGAAAGACAGAAATAGTTTGGCTAGGATGCTAGGATTAAAAATAATTTTCTCTTTTAAAATTTTTTCTCTTTACTCTTGTTATATCATCTTTAATTTTTTAAACAAATTCATTTAACCACCCCAGAGAATAAGAACACAAATGCTACTCAATCATACAATAGCTATGTATACAAAATGCAATATAAAACCTCCATTTTGGAGATACCCCATTCTTTAGCCCCTAGTTGCAGCCCATTTCCCCCAAGAAGAACCTGAAGTCTTACCATCATCAACTCCCAGGATGGAATTGGCATTTGGTAGGTTCAAGGACTCTCCTCCAAGGCTGGGCTGGGAATTCACAGATACCAGGTTTTTACTGGGTACCGAAGCTTCTTCAAGCAAACTACTGCCCATTAGTGGCTCAGCTGCGCAGAGAAGAGAGTGTGAGACATACAGCAGTTAAGGCTGTGCCTGGTCCTCATTTTCCCAACCAAGAAAGCTGGCATTCTCTTCCAGAACTAGAAATTAATCTATATCTTGGATGCCACCTATTTCACTGACTTTCAGGAAATAAGAATAAACCTAGCAGGGAAAGGTTGAGCTTTAGGGATAATTATCTTTGTGATCAATTTGTGAAAAATTAGCATAAGAAATGGGATGGAGACATCCTTAGAAAGGAGTTTTGGAGTGAAATAACTGATTGAGGAAATACTTGGAAAAGGAAAAAAATTTAAAAAGGGTTATCAGATTTTAGGTAGGGCAAAAGGTAGTCACAACCGATAAGTAAAACAATATGTAAAATCTTGTCATACAGAAATCTTTTTATTACCACTCTACTCAAATTCTGGTTTATGAACCAGCATTAATTAACAAACTCACTAGGCGGGCTTTTATTTTTGAGATACATCTCACCATGTTACTCATGCTAGTCTCAAACACCAGGATTCAATTGATCCTCCCACTTTAGTATGTTAAGTGTGTGTAATCTACAAGTACATGCCACCAAGGGGAACTCATATTTACTTTTTGCAGTGCTGGGGATTGTACCCAGCACCTTACGCATGCTAGGCAAGTGCTCTATCAATGAGCTACACTCCGACCCCTATAAGAATTTTTAAAACAACAGAATATGGAAACTCACAAATTATTTCATTTATCAGACTATTTTGTTTTGTACAGGTGGGGAAAGGATGACAAGCAAGAAAATACACGTTTTAAAAGTCTGGGGCTGGGGATTTGGCTCAGTGGTTCCACTGTCTGCCTTGTAAGCACAGGGGCCCATGTTTGATCCCCAGTACGAAAAAAAAAGTCTGTATGCCAGGCATGGTGGCACACACCTGTAATCCCAGGACTTGGAGACTGAAACAGAAGGATTGCTGTAACTTCAAGGCCTGCCTGGGCTGCACAGAAAGACCCTGTCTCCAAAAGCCAAAAAACAAAACAAAACAACAAAAAACCCCATTTGTTTGGAAACTGCCAGCCCATCAAATTAGACCAGGTCTCTCTACCCAAAAGTGAGTCAGAAGATCATCAGAGGGCTACATGGACAGGTGACTTGGCTCTTTGAACTTAGAAAGACACAGCCCCCCCACTATGTCCACCCTCCTCACCAGTTTGCTCCTGCTCTTGACTCCCAGCTGTCCCCCCCTGCAAGTGATGTTTTCTCATGTGCACATTTCTACTTCCACTCTGAGAGAAGGTCTTCCCACAGACTTGGCAATGATGAGGCTTCTCTCCTGAAACAGGGAACAGGAGGTTAAGACAAGGCAGCCAAAAAAGTGAATACATTTTTGGTGGTGAATCAAGGGACTAATGATGCAGAGGCCAGAGCTTGTTAACTATATATGAGGCTGTTCCTTCTCCCACTCTCCACCTTTCCCAGCTTCTCAGCTTTCAGTACAAGAAGGTAGATGAGCACACCAAGAAGGCTCAGCACACTCAATGCTCCCAGCCCCAGTCCTTTCCAGACCCACACGCTGTACTTTGGCCTTCACAACAGCTCTTTGGTGTGGGGTCCTGGAACCAACACAAAATATTTACTTCCCTTTTCAAATAGTCTTCCATGGACCTGTAAGACATGAACCCTCCCCCCAAGGATTCTAACCCTGGGTTTATACTATCCTGTCTTATTTTGTGGCACTACAGTCATCAACAACCACACTGGTAGTTCTTCTAACATAATGACCTGAACTATCCTCTATGTTAGTGGTGGTGAACCTATGGCACGTGTGCCACAGCTGGCTGTTTGTTATCACTGAAAGCTCTAAAAGGTTTGCTATCACTGCTCTACGTTCTTAAATCCAAAACTCTTGGTCTCCATTCCACCTACCCAGACAATCATACTTAGAACAGGGATAAAAAAACTCATGCCCAGGGCCAGGGATTTCAAGGTCGTGAGTTAGATCCCCATACTGCAAAAACAAAAATAAAAATAAAAACACAAACTCATGCCCAGAAGCTTTTTAATTTGGTATGAACCTGTTTGTTAAGTCCTGGTACTATTTGCTGTGCAACCAGGATTCTGTTCAGAAAGTCTTTGCCTACACATGACTTTTAAGAGTTTTTTCTTCCAGCAGATTGAATATTTGTTTTAATATTTAGATCTCTGGTTCATTTTGATTTTGGTTTAGAACATGGTAAGAGATATGGATCTGGGTTCAATCTTGTGGACAGCCAGTTTCCCCAATACCATTTATTTATTTTTGGTACCAGGGATCAAACTCAGGACCTTGAGATTGAGGCAGGCACGGTACCACTGAGCTAAATCCCCAGCCCCCCAACATCATTTATTAAACAAACTATCTTTCCAGTGTATGTTTTTGGTCCCTTTGATAATGACCAAATATAGTAGTTAAGTGAAATAAATCAGACACACAAGCTTAAATATCACATGGTTGCCCTTATATGAGAAACTCGAAACATACATAAAGAGCAAAATAAAATATAGCAAGTAGGGAGATAGATCTTTTTCAAATGAGAAGCAGATCAAGAAAAGGAGGGAGGGCCAAGGATATAGCTCAGTGGCTCCACCACCTGCATCGCAAGCACAAGGACCAGAGTTCAATCCCTGGTACGGGGGGAGTGGTGGTGGGGTGGGCAACCAAAACCCAAAACCTAAAAAACAGAGGGAGCTGGGTGTGGTGGTATACACCTATAATCCTAGCACTTGGGAGGCTGAAGCACGTGGATGGCCACAAATTCAAGGCCAGCCAGGGATACACAGTGAGTTCAGAGCCAGCATGACTACATAGTGAGACCCCCTCCCTCAAAAAACAAAAAAGAAAGAAATGGAGGTAGTGGAGAAGGAGAGAAGGGGATGAAAAAAGAATTAAGATGTGTTAAGTAGTACTTTCCCTGTAAGAGGGACAGCCATTATTCAGTTCTAGCCAAGTGCTGCCATATATGTATCAAGGTCTGGCACTACCAGAGGGCCACTACCACTTAAAATCTGGAATTGTGGATTTTAAAGTAAAATCTGCCAACTTATAAATAATGGGAACAAATTTAAAATTGATAAAAATATTATACAGTCATCTTTACTGCTGAAAAAAGATGGCAGGAAATAGGCAGGAAATCTGATATTATTTAGCAAAATTACACATGGACTATTTTTGCACTTTGATCTGGGAACCCAATTTTAGACCTCTGTACCAAAGTTACAGTGGCAAAATGTGAAATAATCTATGCACAGGATTATTCATTGTAGCATTATTTTAAATAGACAAAAACTGGACATAATCCAAATATTCATCAGAGTGTAGGTGAATATAATTATAAAATATAAACATAGTAGAATACTACAAACCTATAAAAAGGAATGAGAGGAAAAAAAAAGGAATGAGGATTCTATACATTGATATAGGAAATAGTTAAATATGGCTAAAAAAAGAACCATCCATAACTACAGAACTATATATATGCTACCTTTGTGTAGGAAAAAAAAAGGGGAGCCAGGTATGGTACACATGCCTACAATCCCAGCACTCTGTGAGGCTGAGGCAGGAGGAGTGCAAGCACAGTCCAGCCTGGGAAACTCAGTGACTTAGCAAGACCCCATCTTAAAATGAAAAATAAAAAAAGGATGGCAATGTAGCTCCGTTTGAAGACCCAAGTTAAATCCTTAGTATTCGGTGGTGGTGGTGGTAGGGAGAGCAGCAGCATGGGGAGTGTTGGCAAGGATTTGAAGAAGGTAGAACTTTTAGACACTGCTAGGGATGCAGCTACTCTTGTTTTGTTTTGTTTTCTTTTAACACAGGGTCACACTATAGTTAGGCCAGGCTTGAACTCACAATGATCTTCCTGCCTCAGTCTCCCGTGAGCTAGGGTTACCAGTGTGTGCTACCATACTCAACTAACGCAGTTACTCTGGAAAATTGGCAGCTCCTCAAAAACGTCAATAGATTTATCATGTGACCAGCAATTAAATTCCTAGGCATACACATAAGAGATGAAAACATACCAACATGGAAAAACTTGTACAGAAATACTCATAGCAGCCTTATGCATAACAGCCAACATTTGGCACACGGACACAATGAAGTATTATTGTCATTAAAAACGATGTGATAATATACTACAACATGAATAAATCTTGAAAATGTATACCAAGTTAAAGAAATCAGACACAAAATGACATAGTGTACACTGTCATTCATATGAAAAGTACTGTATAGAACAGGTAAACCCATAGGGACAGAAAACAGGTTAATGGCTGCCATGGGCTAGTGGATGGCAGAAATGGAAAATGACTGTTAAAGATGTGGGGATTCTTCTGGGAAGAATGAAATCTTACGGAATTTGATAATGCAACAACTGCAAAACCACTAAACTGTATTTTTTTTTTTCAGACAGGATCTTGCTATGTAGTAGTTCAGGCTGCTGTGAACTCACTATGTAGTCCACGCTGGCCCCAAACTCACAGCAGTCCTCCCACTGAGCCTCCTGGGAATTATGCGCCACACCTGTCCTGCACATTTTTTAAAAAACAGATGAATCTTATAGCATGTGAATTTCATCTGAATTAAAAAAAAAAAAAACAAACTTCATGGGGGAGCCAAGTGCTTTGGCACACACCTAAAATCCCAGCTACTCAGAAGGCTAATATAGGAAGATCACAGGTTCGAGCTCAGCCTGGTCGACTATAAGATGTGGTCTCAAAAGATAAAATAAAGAAAGGGCTGCAAGGGCTGGGGATTTTGCTCAGTGGTTCTGGAGCCTGCCTCACAAGCTCAAGAGCCTGAGTTCAATTCCTGGTACCAAAAAAGAAAAAAGAAAAGGCTGCAGGCTGATCCTTAGCACTGCAGGGGGAAAAAAAGAAGAAATGGTGGTATACTGGGAATGTAGTTCAGTTGAGAGTATCCCTTGAAAAAAATTTCAGTACTGGAAAAACAAAACCAAAAAACTTGAAGAGGCATAAAAATAATCTGTATTTCTTTATCTTTGTAAAAGGAAGTACTAGAAAAATAAAGCCAGGCATGGTGGCCCAGGCCTGTAATCCCAGCACTATGGGAGGCTAAAATGGGAAGATTGAGAGGTCAAGCCCTGGTTAACCAATTTACTGAAATTAGTGAGATCCTGACTTTTTCTGGAGACAGGGTCTCACTATGTAGTTCGGGCGGGCCTTGAACTCACTATGTATCCCAGGCTGACCTTAAACTCAACAATCCTTCTGTTTTAGCCTCCCAAGAGAAAAAAAATTTTTTGAAAAGGGCCAGTGACTCAAATGTAGCTCAGTGCAAAGGCCATGGGTTCAATGCCTGGTACTATACTGCAAAACAAACAAACAAACCCAAAAAACAAAAAAAAAGTAAATTTAAAAGGAATTAAAAGCCTTTAAAAGAAGGGGAGGAGACAGGGTGAAGGGATAGAACTATAATTAAGACTTTTCTACCGCCTGCCTCACAAGCGCAAAGTCCTGAGTTCAACCCCAGTACCCCCCCCAAAAAAAAGAAGACTTCTTTGACTATACCTAGCTTTCACTTTACAAATTAATAAGAATAAAATTAAAATAAAATACTTCACTTCAAAAAGAAACTGAAATATATTAGGCAAGTGAAATAATAAAACAATTTTAAAGGATATTAAATAAGGTATTTTGACCGCATATCCTTAAATGGAATATAAGGAAAACATAGCTGCAACTGACAAAACGGGAAAAAAAGTTTTACCAGCTATTTCTCAGACAGAGTCTAATACCTAGAATATATAAAGAACTAAAAAAAATTAGACCCCTCCAAATGAAAGACCAAATAAAAAAATAGGCAACTGGGGCAAGGGACTTAGCTCAGTGGTTCTGCCATCTACCTTGCAAGAACAGGGACCTGAGTTCGATCCCCGGTACCACAAAAACATAAAACAAAACAAAACAAAAAAATAGGCAACTGAAAAGAATAAATAAGGGCCGGGATTTAGCTCAGTGGCGCCATGCCTGTCTTGCAAGTGCAAGGTCCTGAGTTCCATCCCCACCTTACCAGAAAAAAAAAAGGAAATGAATAAACACTTAAAAGAAGAAATACAAATGGCCAATATAAACATAAAAAATATTCAGGCTTTAACCATTAGTGAAATGCAAATCAAAACAACACTGAGATTTTACTGTGCTCCAGTAAGAACAGCCATCTAGTCCATCAGTGGGCCAGATGTGCCTGTTTTAGAGCTTACTTCAATTTATAGTAAATATAGGGAAACAAGTTAAATGACATAAAAGGAAGCTAACCAACAAATCCAGAATGTGAGATATTCTACAGGACCCAAGCAACTGTTCTGCAATAAGTATGATAATAAAAGTAAAAGCAGAAAGGTCTAGATTTAAGAAGACTAACTACAAGTTGTTGAATCCTTTAATTAATTTATTTATTTTTTGGGTACTGGGGATCGAACTCAGGACCTTGCACTTGTGAAGCAGGTGGCAGGAATCCTTTTTTTTTTTTTTGAGGCAGGGTCTCACTATGTAGCTCAGACTGGCCTTGAACTCACTATGTAAATGGGGATCCTCCTGCCTCAGCCTCCTGAGTGCTGAGACTATAGGCACATGCCACTAGCGTGGCCTGAATCCTTATTTTAACATATCACCTTTAAAAGACATTTTTGAGACAATGGGAAAAAACTGAACAGGGACTGGGTGTAAGATAAAACTAAAGAATTACTGTTAAATTTGATAGGTATAAGAAGTTGTCTTTTATTCTCTACATTAGTGTTTGACACAATTTTATATAATAAAGTAAAATAAAAGACTTTATAAACCAAGCAAAAAACATGTGAAATCCATACCTAGTCCACAGGATATCAGTTTACTATGCCTACTTAGAGCTTGCCACAATGTTAAAATCTATCTTAGCCCTAAGATCTCAGATCTGAAATTCACAATCCTAATTGATTATATCTTCCCATCTCTCTTGCTCCAAGTAAACGGTCTTGCTGTCCTCATCATAAATAACTTCCAATTCTTCCTCTTAGTGTTGTTCTGGTTTCCCTTTGCTTCCATGGCCAGCTACTTTAATAATTACTGACTCCATTCTAGAATCTCCACCTTGAGTTCACCTCCTGCTTGGCAGGCCTCTGCTCTGAATAATCTTCACGCCCTAGTTGAACAGCAGCAGAAACAGTTATGAAATCTAAACAGACTTACTAAATAGTTATGCCATCTACTTTAAAGCTGATGTCATCTACACATCTGAAAGCTGTTTCTTCACTCACTGCTATTTACCAGTCCTTTTTTTTGGGGGGGGTACCAGGGATCAAACTCTGGACCTAACACTTGTGAGGCAGGCAACAGCAGCACCACTGAGCTAAATCCCCAGCCTAACCAGTCTTTTTATTTTTATTTATTTACAGGGGCTGGGGATTTAGCTCAGTGGTTCTGCCACCTGCTTCAACAAGCGCAAGAACCTGAGTTCAATTCCTGGTACCACAAAATACACACACACACACACACACACACACACACACACACACATATTGTTTTGTTTTTGTTTTTTGAGACAGGATCTCACTATGTAGTTGAGACTGACTTGGAGCTCACTATGTAGCCCAGGCTGATCTCGAACACACAGCGAGTCTCCTGCCTCAGCCTCCCAAGTGCTGGGAGTGCTGGGATTACAGGTATGTGCCACCACACCCAGTATATTTGTTTATTTATTTTGGTACCCGGGATTGAACTCAGGAACTTGGGCTTGCAAGGCAGGCAGTGAAACCACTGAGCTAAATCTCCAGCACCAGTCCTTTTATTCACGACAATTAGTTCAGTCAATCAACAAGTTTCTACCATTTATGGGGAATTATCCCAATCCAGGATGAGTCCACAGGCTCCCTCTAATACTCATCATCATCTCTTCCAACACTTCTCTAACCCCTTCTCATAAACTTGTAAGCCAGCCTGACAATGAGGTGGCCAACTTTTCCTCCTTATCTTCAATACCACATTTCTTGAATCAATAGTCTTGTTGCCTTTATTTCCCTATTACTTTATATCCAATCAATTGTGAAATCAGAGAGATGCTTCCACTGGATCTCTTTCCATGTGGCCTAGGAATACCATGGAGCAGACTGTTTTTTTTTTTTCTGGTGGTGCTGAGTCTTGTATATGTTAGGCAATGCTCTACTACTGAGTTACATCCTCATTCCTGGGACAGATTCTTGACTATATTTTAAGAAAAAGTCTTCTCTCCTCATTTCAGTTTAGTTTACACACCACTGCCAGATTAATCTACAGTAAAGTGAGTTCTCATCTGGACGCACCTTCAGTAGGCTCTACAAACTCTTCCCTGGCATTCTAAGCTCTTCAGTCTGCTTTCAATACAATATGTGAAGTCTCAGAGGTAGTATCCCCAAGATACAGCTGTAGGCTTCTGTTTCGGAGGACGGGAAGGGAGGGAAGGGGACTTCAGCTTTTTCTACTGAACTTACAAGGTCTGGATGATGTTTAATAATTTTCAGATATTTAAAAGACATCTTTAGCAGGGCAGACTAGGTCATGTGCACAGAATGAGCCATTTGACAGAATTACAAGGAATGAATTTAAGAATGCAAAACAAAAAAAGGGGTCTTTAAAACTTTTCGCTTTCCTTCACTACTAGTGACAATGCGGTTCTAATAGTTAAAGATATAGTTTTTTTCTATTACTGGAAATCAAACTCAGGACCTTGTACTTGCCAGGCAGGCACAGCACCCTGGCCCTTAAAGGTATAGTTTCTATCAAAATGATGTCTGAACAAGATCAACACCTTCTAGAAGGCAGTAATATTACTGGTGCTACTATCACTAACAACTTCCTAACTACTAACTACTGTCTTCTGATTTGAAATTCTCCTCCAGAGGAATGAAATATAAACTTCTAAAAATCAGAATTCATGTTTGATATAACTGATAAAGGACTCAGTACAAAGTGAAACAAGTTTGCTGATCTCATAAAACAGTCTGGATTAAAAGTACTTCTGTAACTCAGCAGAAAATACTATTAGACACCGCTCCCCCCCTCCCCCCTGTTATGAGACCCTTTAAACACATTTACTATGGGCTTTGATTTCTGATTCAATTGTGGCTCAGAAGCTTTATGTATGTTTCGGGTAAACAGTTTCTTTCCTTTTAGATTTCTTACTTTTTTTTTTCTTTTTTCCTTCTTTTAGTACCGGGATTGAACTCGGGACCTTATGCTTGTGAGGCAGGCGGAACCACTGAGCTAAATCCCTGGCCTCTTTTTAGATTTTTTTTTTCTTTTTTTGTACCGGGGATTGAACTTGGGACCTTGAGCTTCTGAGGTAGGCAGTGGAACCACAGCCGCTTTTTAGATTTCTTTACACCACTCTCCCTTCTACTCGTCTCTCTCCTTTTCTTAAATCTACAAATGGCACAGGTTCTCATACCTGAGTGAACCAACAGATGTTTTCGGAGACTAGAATGCTCAGCAAAGGAACGGCCACATCCTTGGGCTTCACAAAGAAAAGGTTTCTCTCCTAGAGATAGAAAATGAGATAAAAACTCTTGACTTTTCCCATCAACTTGTTTTCAATGATATTTTTTCTGATTTCTTTAGTTCATATTTACTTTCTTTTTTTTTTTTTTTTTTTTTTTTTATACGGGGTTTTTTTTTTTTTCAGTTTTTTTTTTTTTTTTTTTTTTTTTTTTTTTTTTGAGACAGGGTCTTGCTGTGTAGTTCAGGCTGGCCTCGAACTCATGCTGATCTTCCTGCCTCAGCATCCTGAGTGCTGGGATTATATGCATGTGCCACTGCTTCCAGCATGTTATATAATTTCAACCAGGCTACTTAGAAAGTTTTGTCTCTCACTGATCTAGTATACAATCTGCCAAGTAGCCCTGCAGGTTCTCTTAGAAGGACTGCCTCTGAGCCTCATACTTCCTCCTTCCTCTTGGCTGAAGCGCTGACCATCCAGATTCAGTGATCTTCTGGATGATGTTAAGATTAACGGTATGGGCTGGAGAGTGGCTCAGTGACAAGAGCCCCTGCCTAACATGCAGAGGGCCCTGGATTCTTTCTCCAACACCATTTATAAACAAAAAGATTAATCACTTTTCCGGGTCCATGTAAAAGTATAGCTTTTTAAAGGTCTGAAAAAGTTATTATAGAGTCCCATTTTATAAAACAATGGGAAGATAGATAATTAGTCACAGGAATATACAGTGAACTCTGTAATGATATTGTAAAAGTAGCTACATCTATACAGGTGTATTGCAGATATTTTTTTCCCCTCCTCCCTCCCTCTTTCTCTCCTTTCTTTTCATGTTACTGAATCCAGGGCCTTCACACTGGGATACATCCTCAGTCCTTTTTTTTTATTTTATATTTTTCAGATAGGTTACTAAGTTGTCCAGCTTGGTCTTGAATCTGTGATCCACCTGATACAGCCTCCCAAGAATGGTGGATAACAGGCAGGTGCCACCACTCACAGCTTGGATCATTTTTATTTTGCATTTTTCTCTTATTTTCATTTTCTATATCATTTTGTTATCTAAAAAAATGAAAACTGGAGGTGTATTTTCAGTGTTAAGAGTGCTTGACTAGCATGCAGAAGGCCCTGGGTTTGAGACCCAAAACTGCAAGAAAATAAATTTTAAAATAAACAAATAGGCTGGGCATGGTGGCGCACGCCTGTAATCCCAGCACTCTGGAGGCTGAGGCAGGAGGATGCTGTGAGTTTGAGACCAGCCTGGGCTACATAGTGAGTTCCAGGTCAGTCTCAACTACATAGTGAGACCCTGTCTCAAAAAAAATAAATAAAAATAAAAATAAACAAATAAATGTTACATGGTGAAAAGTCTGTAGACTAGTTGACAGTAATGTTAATTTATTGAGCTTGATATTGTTACTTAGGCTACCTAAGATGTCACATTTTGGGGAAGCCAGGTGACAGACACAAAGAACTCTGTACTATTTTTGCAGCTTCTTGTGAGTCTCTGTAATTATTTCAAAATAAAAAGTGAACTGAGTGTGGTGGTACATGCCAATAATTACTTGGGAGTCGGAGGTAGAAGGATCACAAGACTGAAGCTAGCCTGGGAAACTTAGTGAGACACTGACTCAAAATACAACAAAAAAAAAGAGCTAACAATGTATCTCAATGCAGCGTACAAAAGGCCTTGGCTTTAACTTCTGGTACTGCAAAACAAAACAAAACAAAACAAAAATAAAATAAATAATACATTTTGAAAAGCAAGGGCTGGTGGTACAGCTTAATCACAGAGCACATGCATAATATATCTGAAGCCCTAGGATCAACCCTCAGCACAGCTTTAAAAAAAAAGGGTAGCCAAAAAAAAAAAAAAAAAAAAAAAAAAATCAAAGTTGCAAACTCTATCCTCCAAGGATCAGGCTACTAGGAGATAAATATATTCATAAATAATTGCCACATAAATTCCTGCATAAGCATTTAGAAGGTGAGTAATTCCAATTGTAGTGGTTTTTGGAAAGAAGGTGGATTTTAGCTGGTCTTAAAAGATGAGAAGGATGGAAAGGAATTTAAGCCACAGGAATAATATGAGCAGAGCCTTGAAACTGAGAGTACCTGAGGTAAATTCAAAGCATGATAATCCATGGTAACAACAATGAAGTCAGGCCTAACAGGATTGGCAGCCCTGTTCTCACTTGTTCTATTCTTTTGGACTCTACTATATAGATGAATGCTAGGATTCCCAGTGGTCTGTAGCTTTTTTGTTTTGTTTGTTGAGAGAGACTGAACCCAGTGCTGAGAATGTAGCCCGTCATGCAGCACCAACCTGGAAAGCTTAAGACCCTGAGTCTGATTCCCAGTACGAAAAAAAAAAGAAAAAAAAGAAAGATGGAACCCAGGGTCCATACCCACTCAGCATGAGCTCTACCACTGAGCTTCAACAGATCTTCTGTAACCTTTTCTAATGCCTATATGGATACTCACACCAATCCCTAGAAGACTTGGTACTCAAGTTTCTAAGCAAATAAATATGTAACACAATAAATGTTAGGAAAAGAAAAAATTTTAATAAGGTCATATATTTTAATAAGATTAATTAAAGAACTTATGAAATAACAGGATTTAGAAAAAGATCCCACCTCTGAATACAGTAATGTGAAATCTCTGCATCAGGCTGGCCTAGGGGATAGGACCTCCCTATTTGGAAATTGAGTGGATTATGATTTTGTCAAAAGATATATAGAAGTAGGAAGAGGAGATTCAAAAGGCAATATGGCATAACAGTTTAAGAACAAGGGCTTCAGAACCAGTTAATGTTCAGTTCAAATCTGGTACTACCACTTATTAGTTTGGGGAAGATATTTAATCTGAGAATCAGCTTTTCATCTATAAAATAGATCATATAATCTCAAAAGACAATTTGAGTATTAAATGAGATACATACAATTAAATATTCATGAGCTGGGGATTTAGCTCAATGGCACTGCGCCTCCCCTGCAAGCTCAAGTTCCTGAGTTCAATCCCCAGTACCACACAAAAAAAACCCCACACAGAATTTAAATATTCAACCATAGTTCCTGGTACATAGTAAGCCACAGAAATTAGCAGCTTTAAGTACTCTCATTTAGTAGAGTACATCAGTAATCCTAGCACTCAGGTGACTGAGGCAGGATGACTGCCATCCTGAGCTATATACTGAGTTCAAGTCCAGCCTGAACTACACAGCAAGACTGTCTCAAAAAAAAAAAAAAAAACAAAAAAAAACAAAAACAAAAATCTGCAGTTAAAAAAAAAGAATCAAAGATTGAGAATTTAGCTTAATGGCACTGCACGTGCCTCTCAAGTATAATATCCTGAGTTCGATTCTCAGTACGAAAAAAAAATCAAAATAAGGGCTAGAGATGTAGCTCTGTGCAAATGTGTTGGGTTCAATCTTTAGTCCTGCAAATTAAATATATATAAACATAAATGAGGCCAATTCACCTCAAATGCTGAGTTGTCAGCATCGGAAATAAAATTAAGCTAGATAGGTGGCACACACCATGCATTCTGGAAGAGGAAGACAAGAAGATTAAATGTTTGAGTACAGCCTAGGCAATTTAATAAGACCCTGCCTCAAAATTAATAATAAAAAGGACCAGGGATTTAGCTCAATGGTTCTGCTGCCTGCCTCGCAAGCACAAGATCCTGAGTTTGATCCCCAGTACAAAAAACCCAAAACCAAAAATTAATAATCAAAAGGGGGCTGGGGATGTAGCTGTGTGTGAAGGGACTGAATTCAATCCCCAGTACCAAAAAAAAAAAAAAAAAAAAAAAAAAAAAAAAAAAAACTGTTCTGATACTGGGTAATTTATTTAACTCTATTTCTTCATCAATAAGTACAATATCTGTTATTTTACAGATTAAAGGAAATAACACATGTGGTTGGTTCATCATAGGTGCCTCAAAAAATGCTTTTTTTTTTCTTTTGGTTTTTTAGAGAGGGTCTCACTATGTAGTTGAGACTGACCTGGAACTCACTATGGAGCCCAGGGTGGACTCGAACTCACAGCCATGCTCCTTCCTTAGTTTCCTGAGTGCTGGGATTACAGGCGTGCACCACCACGCTGGGCTCAAAAAATGCCTTTATTATACTGTGATTGAAACTCAGATCTATGAGGCTTCCAGCAGAAATGATTCATTGGAGGCTTGAGATTATGAGAGTGAAATGTAAGGAATCTGAAATCCTGAAATTAGTGAGCAATTAAGCAACTAACAGAGATAAGAGCTAGCAAAAGTTGAAACAAAGGGGGAAAATTAGCAGAAAGTAAAAAGAAAGTAAAGATGTTCAATGTTACCTAATGCTACAAAGATGATGATCAGCATAAGCATGAAAAGGTCACTGAATTTAACACTAGGCCATGGTAACTCTATTTCTTAGCTATTTAGCTAGATGGCTTCCCTAGGTGTTTATTCAAATTGCTTTTTCAGAGTAAGTATAAATTTACTTTTTCAAGAAAGAGCTAAAAAGAGAACTATTCTACCCCAAAACATATTAGAGGTTATGTCAATCTAGCAGGCTTAATACTTAAGAACAACTGTGCCTTCAGCTCAGGATATACTTTTTGCCCTTTAACTGTACCTGCTATCATTTTAGCAATGAAAAAATGAATAAAGAGACAAATGGCAAGAACATAGGGAATAACTATAAATATCCTCAGATGGTCATTTGGGTTCAATCATTAAGTTTGGCATCAGAGTGCACATGCTTATTAACAAGTAGCTTGGAAAACCAACCTTAAACTCAGACTAAGAGTTAAATTTTTATTTTGCTCTTTTGATACTAACATGCTGTACAACCTACGAGTTACTTCCCATACTCCTCAATATGAGGCTTTTAACAAGAAAGTAAACTCCTCAAAATCAAAGATTACATCTTATCTTGTATTTTCTTCACTTTATCCCATTTAGTGCTCTGTATGTTTTGTATGACTCAATAAACGTTATTGACCAAAATACAATTATGCACTATTCAGAGAGATGAAAACAAACTGATTTTGTCCCTATCTCCTTATTGTTATTATCCAAGAAGATCTTATATCTCTTCCTACATGTTAGGCTCCTAAGGGCAGAAGTCAACACTGTTCATTCATCACAGAGGTGAAGTTTAATAAATGTTGTTGTATGAATTAAAAAGAACAATGAAGCACTTAAAAAATGAATCACATCATTCTACCAACAACCCAGTATCTTCACTTCTTGAAAGGCAAGCAACTGCTGAGCCAAGGAGATTGCCAGGGAACAACTGAGGTTGCACACACCTGTGTGGATGCGCAGGTGATTCTTGAGGTTTCCAGCTGTAGTGAACTGCTTACCACAACTGGACTCAGGACACATAAAGGGCTTCTCCCCATTGTGGGTCCTCATGTGCACCTTCAGCCTCTGCAGCACATAGAAGCTTTTTCCACAGCCTTCTGCAGGGCAGATGAAGGAGCGGTCATTTCTGCAAAAATAATCATATAGGTAACAGAACCTGGAAATACCTTTTCTGGAGCTGAGAAGTCAAAATTCCTAACTCTCAAGGCAGACAGTAAATTTCAAACCTGGATACATCACAATATTCTGAAGAGTTCCTTAAAATTACAGGACCCCCTCTCCCTATATTAATTTCACAGGTTTGGCATAGAAGCCCAGGCTGATGTATTTGTTTTGTTTTGGTGGAGGTACTGGGGATTGGCCTCAGGTGCTCTATCACTGAATCACAACCTCATCTCTTTTTATTTTAAGATAGGGTTTTGCTAAATTGCCCAGCCTGACCTCTAGAATTTGTGATCCTCCTGCTTCAACCTCTTTGGTAATGGGCATTACAGGCATGTGCCACTTACTTACATAAGGCTTTTTTTTTTTTTTTTTTTTGAGGTAGGATCTTGCTATGTATGTAGTCCAGGTTAGCCTTGAACTCTCTATGTAGCTGAGGGTGGCCTCAAATTCATGGCAATTCTCCTGTCTCAGCCTCTCAAATGCTGGGATTATAGACGTGCGTCACCATGCCTGACTATACATAAGGTTTTTAAAAAACTTTTGTAATGAGTTTGAGAATATGTTGAGACATTTAAATATCAATGACCTTACTTAAATATTTATCAATAGGGTAAATAATTCAATGCAAATCTTTTTATTAAAAAATAAAAGAGGGCTGGGTGTATACAGCTCACTAGATACAGCATTTTCTAACATGCATGAGACCCTAGGTTTGATTCGCAGCACTAGGTGGAAAAAAAAAAGGCCAAGAAACACATCTTAACCAGAAGTGAGCTATAGTCCCTGCTTTCCTTTATTTGTCAATTTGGGGGATAAGTTTCTCAGGAAGCATCACTGTTCTTAAGCTCCAAATATGAGCCTTCATGTTTGCTCACCGATGAGTTTTGAGGTGGTACTTGAAGTGAGCTGGCCACACAAATGTCCGGTCACATCCTTCAACAGTACACTTGAGCTTCTTCTCCACTTGAGGAAGGGGTCCAGAATCTTTGGGTTGCCCATCAGCAGAACTGAGGTGGACATTTTCTCCTATAACACAGTCACATATTTATAATCCAGTGAAAGACCCTGCTCAGATACTTAGGTTCAAACTATAAAGCTTTTACAATTCACTCCTAGTGATCACTAATCAGGCTTCTATCTTCACCTTCCCCAGCTCTCTTTGTATCTGCTTAACAACAGAAATGAAGAGTTCTCTACATCTTCATCCCCTTATTCAGAGAACTACCAACAGCTACCATGCTTTGATTCACACATTTGGGCAGGCCTCTTTGACAAATACAGAACATATCCAAACTGGTTTCTTACCAGAACTCTCAGAAAGCAAAGTTAAACCTATTTTGCATTATATAGATTTGTGAGGAAACAAGTAAATCTGAACAACCAGAATGGTATGAGACAGAGAAGACTTCAAATTTCAGGTAATAAAAACCTGTATTTTGAGATGTGATCATTTCGACTTAGTGTGAGCTTCTGGCAAATGTTTATCACAGATCTGCTTTCTTAGGTTTCCATCTTTTGAAATCATCTTGATAGTTTCCTGTCATTTTGAAGAATAAGAACCATCTTCTAATTTCCTCTATCACCTCTCTTTTGTTACAAAGCATTTTAAAGGCAAAAACTGAGCTGACTTTTAAATGTATAACCACAATAACAAACAAAAAAAGTAGAGAAGCCAAGCATAGTGGTCCACCACAGTACTGTCACTCTAGGAGGCTGACACAGGAGGATTACAAGTTTGAGATCAGCCTGAGCAATTTAGTGATTTTCCAAGACCCTGTCTCAAAATTAAAAATAAAAAAAAAAAAAGACTAAGGATTGATGAGCTCAGTATAAAGGCCATGGATTCAATCCCCAGTATTGCCAAAACAAAACAGAACAAGACAAAAAACAAACAAAAGTTAAATATCTACTGGTGTTTTGTTCAGTAGAATAAAAGAAAGTGAAAACAGTTACTCATTAAATTTAAGTGAAATCAGCTGGGCGTACTGGTACACACCTGGAATTTCTGCATTCTGTGAGGCTGAGACAAGATTGCAAGTTCTAGCCCTGTCTGGGCAATTTAGTGAGAAGCTCTCACAAAGTTAAACAATTTTAAAAAGGACTGGGGATGCAGCTCAGTGCAAAGTCCTTGGGTTCAATCCCCAGTACCATTTTTGAAAAAGTGAAATCAGTTAATTAAATTATTAATTTATTTTTTCTTTTGGTACCAGAGATCAAAATCATGACCTTGTGCTTGTGAAGCTGGCTGTGGCAACACTAAGCTAAATCCCCAGCCCTAATTAAAAATTTTATAAGAAGCTGGGTGTGGTGGTGCATGTCACCACTTACTCACCTGGGAGGCTGAGGGAGGAGGATTGCCATGAGTTCGATGGCAGCCTGGGCTACCTAGTTAGAATAAGACCAGCCTGAACTACATAGTGAGACCCTGTCTCAAAAAAAAAAAAAAAAAAAAAAAAAAATATTTTTTTAAAATTTTAATGTAAGTTACAAATTAGAGGGTGGCATTTTCCCCTTCACTTTGTATTTGTGTGTGTAGGAGGGGACACTCGGGACTGAACCCAGGGCCTTTACACTGACTTACATCCCTAGTTCTTTTAAATTATTTTTAAATTTCAAGACAGGATATCAATAAATTGCCCAGGCTGGGCTTGAACTTTTGATCCTCCTGGCTCAGCATCCCAGGGTACTGGGATTACAGGCATGCACTACTCATACTCAGCTTCCTTCACTTTCTTGAAACTCCTCAGACAGTGTCAGAAGACAATCTTTCTTCACTTTCTTTAAGACACAGCTGGACATCAACAGAGAAAAACACTAATTCTGCTATAAGCATATGGAGTTTATTTCCACCATATATATAATTTAGAATAAGATTTATACTTCCAAATTTCACTCTCAAAAGCCAAGAGTAAGACATGTATGTTGTATTTATCACACTCTGGAAACAAAGAATTGATCAAGACAGTTTCTATTCTATCAATTGTCTCTTTCAGTTTTACATTCTTCTTCCTATATTTTACCAAAATAAAACAAACTGCTTCAAGGTCAGGGAATATAGGATGGCTTCTGCAAGTTATTATTAACGTTTTCTTTTTTAATATTGTTCCAGCACAAGTCTTCGTTTGATCCTGAGCACTGAATACACATAGGTGTATTTAAACAGGACAAAATTTCCTACCAACCTCAGTGTTGCAGTTATTGACTTTCTAATGGAAAGTCTACAGAAACCTTACTTGATTCCAGAGACCTGAATCAGTGAATAGTTGGAACTTTGTCCATTTTGAACATACATTAAGATATAGAAAAAGAACATTTATACAAATGTTCAAATAAAGCAGAAATATTCAGCCAGGCATGGGGGCACACACCTGTGTAACCCCAGCACTTGGGAGGCTGAGGCAGGAGGACTGCTGTGAGTTCGAGACCAGCCTGGGCTACATAGTGAGTTCCAGGTCAGTCTCAACTACATAGTAAGACCCTGTCTCAAAAAACAAAACAAAAAGAAATATTCAAATAAAACAGAAAAAAATGGCATACACGCGCACACACACACACACACACACACAGAGAGAGAGAGAGAGAGAGAGAGAGAGAGAGAATAAGGATGGCTAAGATATCACTACAATCCCTCCTCTTCAACAGTGGTTACCAATACAGTATGTGCTGCACTCTAAGGAAATCTTTTTTTTTTTTCCCTAAAAAAAAAAAAAAAACCAAACCCCAGCCAGGTATAGTGGTATACCCTGGAATCCCAGCTACCTCAGGACACTGATGGAAAAGGATCACAGACTCAAGACTGGTGTAGTGGTGGATGCCTATAATACAAGCACTCCGAGAGACTAACACAAGACAAGTGAAAGTTTGAACCCAGCCTGGGAAAGTTAGCATCTTAGCAAGATTCTGTCAGTCAATCAATCAATCAATCAATGGCTGGGCAAAAACAAAAAATAACCTCAGGAAAAAGTAAACTGCCATTTATTTATTTATCTATTTAGAGACAGGGTCTTGTTCTGTAGTTAAAGCTGGCCCTGAACTCACCGTGTAGACCAGACTGGCCTCAAACTCACTGCCATCCTCCTTCCTGCCTCAGCCTCCTGAGTGCTGGGATAACAGGCCTGTGCCACTATGTTTGGCTGTGAATTGCTTTGCATTTGAATTCTTAAACAAGCACTCATTTAAAGGTTTCCTTCAGTTAATTTGTTTTTAAAAACTAAGAACTGATTAGGGAAGACAGACTTGCTTACAAAAAGTCCAATCAGTGACCATTTTGGATATTCAAAAGTTATCTGATAGAAAAGATTAAAAAATATTTCACACTTCATAATTTCAAGGATTGAACACTGTAAGTACTTTAAAGGCACTAGTTATTTGAACAGGGCTTTACATTTGAGATAAAACTTCTGAAGGTGTCACATATAACAGAGGGTAAGCAAACTTTTTCTATACAGAGCCAGAGAGTCAATATTTTCAGCTTCTGGAGCCATTGGGTCTGTTACAACTATTCAACTTGCCAAAATAGTAACTATAAACCATTAGCAACTAATGGATATAGCCATGTTCCAACAAAAGTTTATTTATACAAGCTATTTACAAAGGCCAAAGGCCTCTGATAACCAGAAATACAGCATCATAAACAAAATTATTTCTAGAGCTGGGGATTTAGCTCAATGGTGCTGCATCTGCCTCACAATTGCAAGGTTCTGAGTTCCATTCCTGGTACTAGAAAAAGAAAAAAATTATTTCTGTATTTTAAGCAACTTAGATAGAAGTGAAGATGATGTGCTCTGAAAAACTATGCTAGAGGACTTACAAAATGATGACGAAAGAAGTCCACTAAAAATGCATTAAAAGCCAGGCATGATGGCACACACCTGTAATCCCAACACTAGGAAGGCTGAAGCAGGAGGACTGCCATTGAGTTCAAGACCAGCCTGGGCTACAATAATGAATTCAGCACCAGCCAGAACTACAAAGAGAGACTCTGCCTCAAAAAACCAAGAAAAAAAAATGCATTAAAATATTGAATAAAATTATTTCATTACATATTAGTGGATAAAAAGCATTTAACTGATATATTTCATGATTAAAGTGTATATATAACACCAAAATCATAAAATTTTCAAAAGGCAACATATTAATTTTATCTACATATCTAAAGGTCTATATAGCTAAATTAGAAAAAAGAAAAAAAAAGACTTAGGGGAGTCATCTCAATAGGAAAATGGAAGCTTTTTTTGTTTCTTTTTTCTCTTTGAACTTCTTTGTGCTCCCCTACCCATGACACATAAAATGACATGACCCTGGAACTGTATTTTTGTCTCATATTTGGGCTTACATTTTTCCCCCCTCCAGTACTGGGAATCACACTCAGGACCTTGTGCTTGCCAGGTAAGGCACAGCCGCTAAGCTAAACTCCCTGTCCAAGGGCTCATTTTATTTGAGACAGGGTATCACTCTGTAGTTCAGGCTGGCCTCAAACTTGCAGCAATCCTGGCTCAGCCTCCAGAGTGCTGAGATTACAGATTTGTACCACCATGTCCAGCTTGGGCTCACTTTATATTCAGGAATGTAAGGTATTGTTAATCTAATAAGGTAATGTATTTTAAGAATAAGAAAAATATTCACTTAATGCTTTGCAAATTATAAAGTAGTTCCCAGATTCCCACATAGAATCTTATTTAATCTCCACAACAATGCAAGCAGGTAAGCTACCTGGATCGCTAGGTTTTGAACATTAAAAAACTGAATTAAGGAGGCTTCAAATGCCCAAGACAGGGAGCTACTATATGACACCAGGTATGGACCTCAAGACTCCAGATTCTAAATCTCAAAACTCCTTCCCTATACTGCTTCTCATTGGCAAATGTTTTCTGAATGCAAGTAAAAATGGTAAAAGTTTCAGGAGCTAGGGAATGGAAATAGAATCTCAGGAAGAATCTTCCCAAAATGTCAAAATAAAACATTCTATGCAGTACTATGATAGACACAGAGCTAATTTAAAAACTAATGAAGTTTAGAATTTCATCTCTGCTGGAAACATTTAATGTTTCTAGAACTAAAATACTTTGAAGTATCTGTAGGATCCTTGAGCTCTCTATGAGAAATTTTTTAGTGTTTTCCTTTGAGTGATAATTTAAAAATAATCATAAGCACTGTACAGAAGATCATGTGCATGAACTGACAAGATTTCAGTATTTTCCAGGCATGGTGGCACACACCTGTAATCCCAGCACTTGGGAGGTTTAGGCAGGAAGATCCCCGAGAATTTGACGCCAGCTGGGCTACATAGTGAGTTCAGGACCAGCCTGAATAAAGGGAGACCTTGTCTCAAAAAAGGCAAAAACAAAAACAAAAAAATTCAGTGTTTGAGTTTGGTTTGTGATAATGTTAATGGTGAACCATGTAGTACTAACCAAGCTGTCACAGGTTAATGAGAAATTACAGAGGCAGACCTAAAACAAACAGTATTAATGACGCTACATAAGCAAGGGTTTTATGTTAGCTTAAGAGTGGTTTGAATACAGCCATGGATCACAAGCTTTAACATATATCAGAACTAAGTTTCTGATTTCAGTAGGTCTGTGATAGGAGCTTAGAGTTTGCATTTTTTTTTTTTTGAGGTTATCCTTCTGCCTCAGCCTCCTGAGTGCCAGGATTACAGCTGTGTGCCACCACACCAGGCAAAGTCTGCAATTCTAAACTACCAGGTGATAATGGCAATTGTATTTTGAAATAGACTAGAGTGGCACAGAGAAAATACAGGGATGCTAAATGAAAAGAAACAGCACAAAATCTACCTATGCTAATTGTAAAACTGCCAAGAGTAACAATTACAGTTTCAGTGAAATATCATCTGCCATACTGATTTAATATTTTCATTGGTTTTATAGCTTTTTCTGTTAATAAAACTCTAAATATCAAAATTTACACAGAATTTGTTTTTACATATTTAAGGAATGTTACAATAAAAACAGTTCAAGATAAATCCATGATCTGTATTTTTACAGATGTTCTTTAAAAGTTACTCTGAGCCAGCCATGACGTCATATGACTATGACAGAAAGATTCTAAGTTTCAGTCTTGCAAATGCAGCAAGTTAGCAAGACTCTGCCTCAAAAAATTAAAAAGGGCTGGGGCATGAAAGCCCTAGGTTCAATCCCCAGTACTGGGGGGAAAAAAAAAAAAAAGCTCTGTAAATAATTTCGAACTGAGAATTCAGAATACTATGTTGATGGATTCGGCACATAAATCCAGCATGGCCAAGTTGTTTTGCAGAAAATAAGGCAAACAATTTACATATTTCTAGCCTTCCATTCTGAACAATAGAACTTTGGTCATAAACAACTCAAAATATAGGTATTACAATATTAAAATCTCTGCAGAAATGAAAGGAATACACCATGAGTCTCACCATTACTGCTGGTTTTTGCACTTTTTGCTAGCTGTGCACGAGTAGCAGCAATCAAACTGTCATGGGCCAACTCCTGAACTCGGAGGAACCATGGAATGCTACTATCTGTGCTCTCACTGGAGAGGAAATCGTTCCCTGAATCCTCTGCTTCATCTTGAACAAACACTAAATGCTCAGCTGAAGAGCCCAGACCTGGAAGAAACAAGAGGAGGACATATGAAAGTTAGCCAACAAGTAATCCTGTATTTGCCCCGGCCCAGAATAAGTATGATTTGAAGTATCTATGCCCTGAATCAGCTATTTCAGATATTTGCTTCTCACCTTGAGTTTCTGTTCTTGCAGATGATTACGCTATCACTTTTCTACTTTCAGCCTACAGCCTTGTTGTTACCTTGTCTCCTTGTGTTTCAAAGACTAAGCAACCAGGCCAAATCCAAGCCCTAGTATCAGTCATCCCCTCCTGAGTCCTTCACTTACATCTTCTCCACCTATAATCTAGTCCTCTTGTTGGCCAGCTTTTCCTTATACTTCATAGCACATCTCTCTATTTTTCAAAAGAATACAAAACCTCAAGTACAATGCTATTTACCTTTTTACCTGTTTCTTCAAAGTTATGTTCCATGAGCAAGCATACCTTCTACACTGTACCAAGTTTCTCACCTTCCCACCCACTCCCCATCTCTTTAACCTAGGCTCTACCTCTGCTACTGTAGTAACAATTACTCTCGCTAAGTATTTGGCACAATCAGCATGTTTCCTTCCTTTCCTTCCTACCTACCACTCTCTCCCATTTCTCTTCACCCCTTTCTAGCTGCTCATGCCTGTTGTTATTTTCTTAAATTTTTCAGAGCCCAGACACAATGTTTTTTGTTTATGCTTTAAACTTGTCCTGAACAAAAGAATCCATCCTTGCTGTTTTATACATTTCCTGAATGCTGCTAAGCACCCAAATTCTTCCTATGAAACCTCTTCAGGACTCTGGATTCCTGTTTTTTACTTTCTCAAGAATACTTCCTCCTGAATGTTCCCCCAAAATCTCATCATTACACAAACTGTACTAGGCGTTCCCTCCAAACCTTGCTCTCCCTGTGCCATTATGTCAATAAATCGCACCAAAGGCAGGGAATTAAGCTTAGTGGTGCTGCCGCCTACCTCGCAAGTGCAAGGTCCTGAGTTTGATCCCTAGTACCAAATAAATAAATAAATAAAGGGATCACACTAGAGCCATGCCTGCCTGGTAAGTACAAGGTCCTGAGTTCGACTCCCAGTACTGGAAAATAAAATAAATTGCACCACCTAATTTTCCAAAGAAGAACTGTTTGAGTCATCTTAGAATCTTCCTTCTTCCTGAACACATTCAGCTGGTCACCAGACCATATCGGTTCTTCAAAATAATCAAACAAAAAAGCTTCTCTGCATTTTTTACATATGCTCCATTCATAATTTTTTGTTGAGCATGGGCAGAGTTTGGAAAAGGGTAAAGAATACCTACCTGCTCTTGTTAGATTAAGAAGAATAAAAGAAGTGCTGTCACTTGGCTGTAGATCTTGTAATAAGTTAGGAGACTCTGGAGTGGATAAAAATTCTGGGGACTTCTGTACAGTCTGAGCCCTTGTCTCTTCTCCATCTGGGCCCACATTTACCTGAAGGCTTCTCAATACAGCCGAGGAAGTGACCTCCTTAGAGGAGTTAGTATGATTTGAGGTATCATCTAGTAAAAGAAAATACCATAGTTTTATGTAGTACCCATTTCCAAGGAGCTCACCATTTTGATACATAGTACTTAATATCTTCTAATATTTAGCACCGTAAAGCCATGTATGGTGAGCCATCATGGTAAGCCTTGACATAGGCCTGGCCATGATTGAACTTTGAGTCACCCCGCCGGCACAGACGTGCTGTAGCCCATGACAACAAGCTGGTTCAACTGGTGGTCTGACCTGTTGCCTAGCAAATGTAGCCCATAATACTTGTTTTGTAGAACCTTGTGACCTTTTCAGTCTGCTACACCCTGTTTGTATTTTTGGTTTTGGTTTTAGCGTATATATACCCCAACTTGAAAAATAAATGGGGCCTTGCTACGAAGAGAGCATGAGCCTGGAACTAAGTTCGTGAAACTGCTCTCCAGTTGTTCTTCCCTCGGGTTTGGGACCTGCTGGCAGGACCCCGACGTCGCGGCTCGCGACACCATGCACTCTCAGGAGGCTGAGGCAGGAGGATCACCACAAGTTTGTAGCCAATTTGGGCTACCTAGTGATTTCAAGGCCAGCCTGAACTACATCGTGAGACTCTGTCTCAAAAAACAAAACAATAATAACAATGATAATAATCACATCTAGCACCCTTATGGGAGTACACAGCATTTTGTTTTATAAATATACAGTCTACCTCAGAGAAGTACAGGAATAGCTTTAAGTTCTGAAGGTAGTCAGCAAAACCCGAGAAACAGACTTTACTGACGCTTGGCATAATTAATAATCACCCATACACATATGGGCACTACAGAATGTGGTACTTTTTAAAGCCAGAAATCAGCATTTTTCCTTAAAAAAAATACAGGTGTACACCATCACTATGCCTAGCTATCACCTTTTTTGACAACAGCCATTCTAACAGAAAAAGGATTTTTCCCATTCATTTCCTTCATTGTTGTTAAAATATTTATCCAATAAATTTAAAGTAGGACACAAAATTCAGGGGGAAAGTATTTAAAAATACAAAAGTTTTTTTAGCATCTGGAAATTTTTACAGATTGAAAATCGAGGAGGATTTAAATGACTCTGAACATATCAGGAGAAAATCAGGACATGAGAGATGGATATGAAAAACATATGATCTAGATAGGGAAACTTTAAATTAATGCTGATTGCACATATCTGCCCCTTCCCCCCACCTTTTTCTTTCTTTTTTTGGGGGGGGGTTCTTGAAATGGTCTTGCTGTGTAGTTTAGGCTGGCCTCAAACTCAAAGCATTCTTCCTGCCTCAGCCTCCCAAGTGCTGGGACTACTGGCAGACACCACCCTACCCAGTTTATCTGCCCTTCTTGAATGTTTAAAAATTAAAAGCAGTTTTAAAGTCACTCAAAAAATAAAAGAACATCATTAGAGAAGACAATAAGCAGAAAATTTTATAACAAATAGTCACCAACACATTAATAGTAATCCTACCTGATTAAACATCAATATTCCAAAATTTAAAATAAAGGTCAGAATATAAACAATTAATTATATCAAAAAATAAAGTTTTTTATAATAGTAAATAATAGTAAAGTGAGAGTCCCTCTTTCTATTCAAAGCTAATCTTGCTACCTATGTTCAGAATTCTTCTTACCAATTACTATCTTTCTGCCTTTAGGTTCTGTAACTGGCTTTCCTTTCAGCATAAAAAAAAATCCCCTAAGATCTAAGATATAGCCAGGTGAGGTGGCACATGCCTGTCATCCCAGCACTTAGGAGACTGAAGTAGGAGGATCTCTGTGAGTCTGAGGCCAGCCTGGGCTACATAGTGAGTTCAAAACCAGCCTAAACTACATGGCGAGACCTTTTCTCAAGAAAACAAAACAACGCCCCCCTGCAAAAAAAAAAGAAAAAAGAAAGAAAAGATCCAAGACACAAAACAAGAAAACCCCAATGTCCCTTTACCTCTGTTTTTCCTTCTTATATCAGGAGAGTTTTAGAAAATACTTACTTCCTCAACTCTACACTAGATTTTCTTTGCATTGATATCTCAACCTACTGCAGCCTGGCTTTTCACTCACTTTATTGACTGCCAAAGTCAGTGATGGCCTCCATTTAGTCTTTATCTCAGTGGGTTTTTTAGGATCATCTGACACACTGACTTCCCTTAGGTCCCATGTCTCCACTCAATGCAGACATCCATCTTACCACCTCTATTCTCCTGTCCTCTATTCTCCTTCCCTTCTTTTTAGGGTCTCTGTCTTTCTGCACCTTCAATAAGGAATCCCAAAGTTCTACCTTGGCTTTTTCTCTGTGTGGGTGACCGTATCATTTCTATGGCTTAAATGACTGATACATTTCTGAATTTCCTTTTTCTCCATGACTCCTGACTTGTAGTTTCTTCCAGTCACTTTACTTTCAATGACTTATTCTACCAGTTCCACAGAGTAGGCTAAGGTGAAGGTCTTTGGGGTTATTTTTTTGTAGCACTGGGTACTGAACCTAGAGCCTTACACAAGGTAAGCAAGTGCTCTATCACTGAGCTATATCCTAAGGCTTTTCCTTTTATTTTCAGACAGGGACTCATGAAGTAGCCCTGGCTGGCTTCAAACTTTAATGCTTCCTGCTTTAGCTTGGACAGTGGCTAGACACAGCACCTAACACTCAGGACTTCTTTATCCTATGCCTAGTCATTATTTTTACCTGGTAATATTAGCCGACTGCATTCTGAAGCCTCAGTCACCGGAAGGAGTGACAAGCAAGTTATATCTTTAGTTTCTGACTCTACTAGTCCCTGTCCCAATGGAATGGAGGTATTCTGAAAAAACTGTACCAGAAACTGAAAGAGAAAAAAAGACAACACTGAGAAATAAAGGTTGTTAGGAACAGTTCTAACAACTTTTGAATTTGCCAAAAGATGTTGGTGTAATTAAGTCTTGACTATTTACTGGATTCAGCCATGTTAAAAAAAAAACCTAGATTAACTATAATATTTAGTTATGTCACCAAATCCTCTGTTCTAGAGAAAGGTTCATTTATATAATCAAGATAACCTCTGTCATTTTCCATCAAACAGAAAGGATAAAAACTAGAGAGAGAGAGAGAGAAAGAGGGAAGAAAGAGAGAAAGTGCGCGCATCTTTTTTTTTGGGGGGTACTGGGGATTGAACTCAGGACCTCCCGCTTGTGAGGCAGGCGACTGTACCACTAAGCTAAATCCCTGGTTGAATAATTATATTTTTTAATGATGGGCTATGTAAAAAAAAATCAACTGCACTATACCAAGCACATTTTACAAAGTATTTTTATGTGTACTGGCTCATTTAATTCTTCATTAAATCAATAAGATTCAATGGATTTTTACAAATAAAGACATAATTGAAGACATTAAATGACTTGTCCAAGATCACATAACTAGTTAGCAGCAATGCCAGTCTTCAAACTTCAGTAATCTAATTCCTGATTCTGTGATCTTTCCACTATGCAAAAGATTTACCACAATTAAAGTGAGAAAAAGAATGAAAAGAAAAGTTTAAACCTCCCAATTACTTTTATAAAGAAAATACTTGGGGCCAGAGATTTAGCTCAGTGGTTCTGGAACCTGCCTTGCAAACACAAGGACTAGAGTTCGAGCCCTGGTAACCCCCCCAAAATATTTTCAGATATATACAAAATTAATAAAAGTATTTATAGTACACATACACATAAATTACATATAGATGATGTATATGACATATAAACATACACTTTATATATAAAATAATATTTTGCCATTGTATAATTACTTAAATGCACATATGTCCTTAAATGACAAATATAAAAAACCCTACAAAGGATAAAAATAACATTTTTAAATCTTTGCGAAAATACTTAGCAATACAAGAAAAATAAAATTAATTCTCCAATTAAAATCATTTGGTTCATAAAGCCTAAAATATTTAGTATCAGGTCATTATAAAAAAATTTTGTTGACCCTTGAAAAAATATAATCCACCAAAAGAAAGGAAACAAGCTGAGTGGACTTACCTCTGGTTTGGATTCTAACTCATCTGATAACATTGATTCAGATTACAAAATCCTGTAGCTCTTCAGGGTACAGGTTCAGACTTAATTCAGAGTCAATGATACCTTCCTATTATGCTCATATTCCTTAGAAAATTCTATGCTCATCCTGTAAGATGCTGAATTGGGCTGGCAACAAATTTAACCTTAAAGAGGAGTAAAAGAGACAGCATTGAGGGCAGTGCAGTGAGAAAACTGGTAAATAAGCAAAGGCATTTCTTTATACTGTACATCCAAAAACCACAACAAGCAAAGAATTCAGCCAAAAATATTTACTTTAAAATAGAACAACACAACAAAAATAAAATAGAATATATCCTAAGCTGGTTGGTGTCGTGGCACACACCTATAATCCCAGCATTCAGGAGGCTGAGGTAGGAGGATCCCTGCAAGTATGAGGCCAGCCTGGGCTACATAGTGAGTTCAACACCAGCCTGAACTACATAGTGAGACCCTGCCTCAAAAAAGTAAAGTAAAATAAAATAAATAAAACAAAACATGTCCAACAGGTTTTAAAACCCATAAAATGGTTATATCATAATACAGAATTTCTACTTCTAAAATCTAGTCTAAAAAGGCCTTAAATATGGAAAAAGTTATGTACCCACATATATTCATCATGAATGTGACAAAAACTGGAAGCAACATACATAAGTGTATCCAACAATTAGGGAGTGGTAGATTAAATATGGCAGTCACTTTAAAATATGGTTATAAAGACAATGTAGCAACAAAGAAAAATATTCATGACATATTAATTACAAAAATAAAATACTGAGGGGCCAGGGATTTAACCTCAGTGGCACCTTGCCTGCCTCCCAAGTGCAAGGTCCTGAGTTTGATCCCTGGTACTGAAAGAAAATAAATAAATAAATAAAATACTGAGCTAGGGTGACACACGCCCATAATCGCAGCACTCAAGGCACCTGGGAGACTGAGACAGGACTGCTGTGAGTTTGAAGCTAGCCTGAACTACAAGGCTTGCTGTCTCACAACTTCGCAAGTTTTCTAAATTATATTATTTTGATAACTGAAAAAAATTACATTTAAGAAGTCAAAGCTGGATGGGGGGCCTAGTGGCCCATGCCTATAATGCCAGGACCCTGGAAGGTTGAGAGAGGAGGATACCATGTTTGAGCCCAGCCTGGGCACTTTAGAGACTTAGTGAGACCCTGTCTCAAAATTAAAAAATTTTTAAAAGGGTTGGGGGTGCACCTCAACGTGAAGGCACTAGGTTCAATCCTCAGCAGCCCAAAAACAAAACAATTTTTTTTTTTTGGTACGGGGATCAAACACAGGATCTTGCACTTGGAGGCAAGGCATGGTGCCACTGAGCCACATCCCCAGCCCAAAACGACTTTTTTAAAAAAATGAAGAATAAACTGGGCATGGTGGCACACACACTTCTAATCCCAGCATTCAGGAAGCTGAAGCAGGAGAATCGTTGAGTGTGAGGCCAGCCTGAACTACATAGCAAGACTCTGTCAGAAAAGAAAAGAGAATAGCCAAAAATCAAAGTTGGAGGTCTAACTCAGTGGTAATATGTAGGAAGCTCTGGGTTTAACCCCTAGCACACAAAAAAATAAAAAATAAAGTGGCAAAATTTGAATAGTGTCTCCCAAAGACAGTACTCGCGGGACCCTGATACAGCTGTCCCCTCTCACCTCCATAATTTAAATTCTTACTTTTTTATATATGTGGGCTAAGGATTGAACTTGGAACCTTAAGCATGCTAAGAGCTTGCTCTACCATTAAGTTACTCCCCTAGCCCAAAATTCTTACTTTCTTATAGCTTCGTTATTTCTGCTAAGGGTTTTGGCACAAGAGTTCATTTAATTTGTTATAATTGTTTCTAAAGTGGGAATATTGTTATACAGCAATCATAAAGTATAAAATATACCCAGGATAAAGGTTTCTCATTATTATTAGAGTACACTGAAAAGTTAGAGTAAGACTTTACCTAAAGGACATTCATAAGTACTAAAGTGGTTATTGTTTATTGGTTTCTCCCTTTCTCTTTCTAGCTATTTGAAATCCTCATTTTTCATTGTAAAGAAATAACAATTTACAAGACATAAATGATTTTCGTTTCGTTTTGAGAAAGGGTCTCACTATATAGTTGAGACTGACCTGGAACTCACTATGTAGCCCAGGCTGGTCTCGAACTCACAGTGATCCTCCTGCCTGAGCCTCCTGAGTGCTGGGAGTATAGGCGTGTGCCACCACGCCCAGCTTACAAGACATAAATGAATACACTCCTTTTAAATTTTCCTATTTAAAATAAAGTGTTACAAATTCCCACATTTTCTTTCCACATACATTTTTTTTTAACTCAACCACTACACTAGCTTAATGTGGTCTATGCAGCCATCTTTTTACAGAGGAAGAAAACCAAGGTTCAATAAATCACTTGCCCAAGTTACTAACCTAGAGTTAGGACTCCCATCCACTTAGTAGGCTGGTACGAATTTCTCTAGGTTTGATCTTGAATTTCTGAATCTTAAGAACTCCTTTTTTCAGCTAGAAGTGGAGGTACATGCTGTACTTTTGGCACAGTGGGTGGTTGAGGCAGGAGGATGCCAAATTTGAGCCCAGCCTGGGTAACTGAACAACTTAAGTGAGACCTTGGCTCAAAATCAAAAATAAGAAAAGGATTGGGGATAGAGTTTGGTGCAAAGACCCTGGGTCCAATCCCTAGTACTGGAAAAAACAATCTTTTTTCCAGCTCATCTCAACAAGCCAAGAAATTATCAAATACTTGTTGAGTTATCCTCAAAGTTGTTCTGACTTTAAGAAAAAAAAAAGTTGTTCCGACTTTGAGATTCTAGGATTGCAAAAATCTCTAAAAACCAGACAACTATTTACTGACCTTCATGTTATCTATGACATCTTTTTATTTTAGTGTTTGTATTTTACTAATAATCTCTAAAATTTAAGCACTTTCTGGAACAACTGAGTATCTATATCACAACTGAATACTGCCATACGATTGGCACCCACATTTATGGTTTGTATGTATGAGTAAACTGTGTGAAGAAAATAGAATAGAATGCACTAGAAAGGCAGATGAACTCAAATGAATCTACAGAAGAGTATCTTACCAAGTGCAGTGTGTGGACCTCAACAAAGAACTCTCTAAATACATTAACCCAAGAGTGTAACAGCAAATATGCAGTTACATTTGTTCCTCTTCCTAATTCCATTGCCCATTTGATATATTTCAGAAACTGCAATAAAAATGTTTTTTGAAATAAAAAAGTTCACATTATATACAATTCAATTGTTTTAAAGAGTACACTGTCTTTAGTATATTCACAGGTGTGCAACACAACCCTAACCAAACTAACTTTACATTTTCATCACCCCAAAAGGAAATCCTGAAGTTATTTCCTACTTCTAAAGTTGTCTTTACTATGAGTTTATCAGGTTTCCAAAAAAGCTTCCCTGTAAGCAAGGAGCCCTGAATAAATATTTCTACAATGAATGAATTACTTTGGGGGCGGCGAGACAAGGTCTTGCTATGTAGTCTAGCCTGGCCTCGAACTGGATTCTCCTGCCTCATTTTCCTGAGTGCTGGGATTACAACTGTGTGCCACCATGTCCTGTTCAACAATACTAAATTTTTGTCTCTAGTCTCCTCTGAACCCCAAACATTCATTTCCTGCTGTTTGTTGAGTCTCTCCACGAATACATCCCACAGCATTTCAATCCTAAAAATGTACAAAATCTAGATTATCATCTCCTCCACCAAACCTGTTCTTCTTGTATTATCTATTTCAATTATTGCCCAATCTTTCCACTCAACTGAAAATTCTAGGCCTTTATAAACTTCTCATATTTAAATAATCTCAATGATTGAGTTCCCTCAAAATTTATTTCTTGTTTAGGTATCTTAGCAACTTTCAACTACACTATTAAAAAAAGTTTCTAACCAGTACCCTGGCCCTTAGAATTTTCCTTTCTAATCCATCTTTCTATTGCTTATATCACACACACACACACACACACACACACACACACACACACCCCAGACCGTTGCCTTGGAATAACTGTCAAACCCTCAAAGGTAAACTACTTCATTTACACAGAAAACCCCCTAAAACTACAGATTAATTTAGCAAAATTTTGATATCCACATGGGTGTAACGTTTAAACTAGAATTCAACACCACTAGTTTAGCTGACCTTTATTCTGCCCTCATTCGGGTAACACAAAGTGGGATTTCTCACTTTCTAACCCCCCCAAGTCCTCCTAACTTTCAAAATGTTTCATTCATCCTTTTCGCAAATATGCTACGTTGACCCTTGAGCCAAAGTGGGGTTAACTGCGAATTCTTAATTCCCAAGTTAATAGTATTTAAATAGTGCCTAAATGCATCTCAGAGTCTCAGGAGCAAGTGGAATGAACTTTAAATAAACTAATTGGATTCCCTTGAGAAACGTCAGAGGGCAAGTTCAGCCAACAAGATATATTACCAGCTGTAAACACGGACCGCCCACAAACCCGCCCGAACTGACAGGCGAAGGAGAACCCGGTGGCCCAACCCTCCGCTTCGGCAGACCCGTTCCTATTCTAAATCCAGAAAGTAAGTAAACGCCGGAAAGGAGTGCAGTTCTCGGCTAAAAACGTTCAGGGCGAGGCTCCGTTAGCTCCCCTTCCCCCACCACAATAGGCCTTAAAGTGAGGCCCCAAGGTCCGCGGGGAGGCCCGGCTGTGCGGGTGCCGTAAAGGGGACCCGGCCCCGGGGACTCGCTATAACTCCGGCTTTCTCCGGACTGTCTCTTTCCCACACCCTCGCCCCTAAAACCGGGTAAAGGGTCCAAAGCATCGCCCTCAAAATCTCTCCGGGGGAGGGCCGAAGCGCAGGGCTGCAAACCGGCCGCCCCCAGGCCCGCCCGAGTCGGAGGGTCCCTGAGGGGGGCGGTTTCTCTTGTCTTCCCAGCGGCTGAGTCGACCCCAGACCCTTAGAAGTCAGTAGTAACTCCCCTTTCCCCGAGACCACCCAGGCGAGCGGGTGTGACCAGCCCCACCGAGGAGCTCACCTTCTAGACCCGGGGTGCCGGCCGGCCGTCTGTCGGTCCCGAATTCCGTCCACTTACAGCGTCTTCCGGCTCCCGCCGGAAACAGCTCGAACGCGGGACAGGAAGTTTGGCCGCTCCCCCACGCACACACCCACTCGCTCACCTCCCCGGCCGCTGCGTTTCTTCCCCAGTGGAGGTCCCTGGCCGAGGACCGCGGGCCTGGCCCGCCCTGCCCGCTGCATGGGCGGGGCCCCAGAAGTGGAACATCTGGCCTTTGCCTCCCGCTCATTCTCCCTGGCCTTCCGGGCTCCTAGGTCCTTGAAGCCAGAAAACCAGGTCAGTGCATTCTAGCCTCGACGTCACTGCCTACCCCCAGCAACAGATGGGGTAGTTGCTCATTCGGCGGCGGAGTGTATTTATACAGGGAGGCAAAGGAGAAAAACAAGATCGCTACTTAAACAATTACCAAACCTCTACTGCCCGGGAGGGGAAATTACAGAAGCAAGTTCTGTATTACATATGGGACTGGGTATGGATCCAGTCACATGCAGAATTGTTCTGGTTTATTAATTCCCCACGGTCTGGTTTCCGAATGTTATTACGTGAAGGGCTCTAACTGTGGGCTGGAACACTTGAGTTTCAAGCTGCCTGCCACCACTTAGCCTTAGGTGTTGGACTTCTTGGAAAATAGGGATTTTTAAAAATAATTTGCTGCAGTACAAAAGAATAGGGCAGTCAACTACAATAGTGACACCGGGATGAAAATTTCTCTTAAAAGACACTTTCAAGTTTAAAGATAACCCAGGTGTATACATGGGTGAGGGAAGAGTTTGCTTACACAGATAACTTTTCAAGTGAAACTAGTTCTTTAAATAAAGCAGAGTTTGAGGTGCCAGCAGGGTATCTAGAGCTCAGTTAATGGAGATGTAGTTTTGGGAGTTAACATACAGAGAAGACCTGAAACCTCTAACCTTCAGGAAAGGAAATAGTCTGGGAAAGTATAAAAAACTGGCCCCTGAAATAAACTAGAATGATTACCAACAGCATTTGAATCTGTTACATCTTGTATACAAAAGTACACTGACCACTTGGAGGCTTGCTATGAACAAGGCCCTGGGTTCAATCCTCAGTATGGGGCAGGGGGCATAGTAGCACACTTCTAATTCCTGCCCTCTGGGAGGAAGAGTATCAACTTTGAGACCAAGGGCACATGCCTATAATCCCAACACTTGGGAGAATCTGGCAGAAGGATCACCTTGAGGTCAAGGCCAGCCTGAGCGCGCTCGCACTCTCTCTCTCTCTCTCTCTCTCTCTCTCTCTCTCTCTGTGTGTGTGTGTGTGTGTGT